TAATTACATTAATTATACTGATTACATTAATTACAATAATTATACTGATTACATTGATTATACTGATTATATAGATTACACTGATTATATTGATTACATTAATTATACTGATTATATTGATTACACTGATTATATTGATTACATTAATTATACTGATTATACTGATTATATTGATTACATGAATTATACTGATTATACTGATTACATTAATTACACTGATTACACTGATTACATTGATTACATTAATTATACTGATTACACTGATTACACTGATTACATTAATTACACTGATTACATTGATTATACTGATTACACTGATTATATTGATTACATTGATTACACTGATTACATTGATTATACTGATTATATAGATTACACTGATTATATTGATTAGATTGATAACACTGATTATATTGATTACACTGATTACATTGATTACACTGATTACATTGATTACACTGATTACACTGATTACATTGATTACACTGATTACACTGATTATATTGATTATACTGATTACACTGATTACATTGATTACACTGATTACATTGATTACACTGATTATATTGATTACATTGATTACACTGATTATATTGATTATACTGATTACACTGATTATATTGATTATATTGATGGTTAGGTGCATCTTTCACATGCTGGGAATGAAACCAGTAGGGTCAACAACACACACAGAGGTCAAAGGTCACGTACCTGTTTGACCCTGGCTCTGCCCGGGGAGAACTTCCTCTTAGAGATGGCCGGTTTCCCCATACCGATTTTAGGGGTGAGGGGGAGTACAGTGGTGGGAGGTGCCTGGGGCTGGGAACAAAATATATAAGGAGGAGACAGTCAGTGGGAGGAGACAACAAGGAGGAGACAGTCAGAGACAACAAGGAGGAGACAGTCAGAGACAACAAGGAGGAGACAGTCAGAGACAACAAGGAGGAGACAACAAGGAGGAGACAGTCAGAGACAACAAGGAGGAGACAGTCAGAGACAACAAGGAGGAGACAGTCAGTGGGAGGAGACAACAAGGAGGAGACAGTCAGTGGGAGGAGACAACAAGGAGGAGACAGTCAGTGGGAGGAGACAACAAGGAGACAGTCAGTGGGAGGAGACAACAAGGAGACAGTCAGTGGGAGGAGACAACAAGGAGACAAGGAGGAGACAGTCAGTGGGAGGAGACAACAAGGAGACAGTCAGTGGGAGGAGACAACAAGGAGGAGACAGTCAGTGGGAGGAGACAACAAGGAGACAGTCAGTGGGAGGAGACAACAAGGAGACAGTCAGTGGGAGGAGACAACAAGGAGACAGTCAGTGGAAGGAGACAGTCAGTGGGAGGAGACAACAAGGAGGAGACAACAAGGAGACAGTCAGTGGGAGGAGACAACAAGGAGACAGTCAGTGGAAGGAGACAGTCATTGGGAGGAGACAACAAGGAGACAGTCAGTGGAAGGAGACAGTCAGTGGGAGGAGACAACAAGGAGACAGTCAGTGGGAGGGGACAATAAGGAGGAGACAACAAGGAGGAGACAACAAGGAGGAGACAACAAGGAGGAGACGACAAGGAGGTTACAGTGGGGGGACAAGTTCTAGTTAGATTTACCTTGGAGAGAGTTGGAGATTCTCTTGCAGGGGGGGCGCACTGGAGAGGAGGTGAGAGCGGGGAGAGTGGAGGTGGGGTGATGGGAGCTCTGGCGGGGGAGGTCTCAGGGGAGGCCTCCGTGGAGAAGGGAGACTGCCTCAGACGGATGGAGAGGTCATCTGATGGCCTTGAGGAGCAAGGAGGAGGCCTGAGAGTCCGACCCTTTCCTCGGCGGGAGAAGGGAGGCGGGCTGGGGGTGGAGAGGTGCAGGAGGGACGGGGGAGGAGACGAGGAGGTCATCAGCTCCATCACCTCCATGTCTAAAGAGTGGTCCAGTTCCAGCACGGGACTCATTGGGTCCTCCTCCTCCACATCTGATTGGTCCTCAGGCTCAGTGCCTTCCCTCGCCTCCTCCACCTCCTCCTCCTCCTCCTCCTCTTCATCCATCCTACCAGTCACCACCTCCTCCTGCTCCTCCTCCTGTGCATCCTGCTCCTTCCTCATTGGCTGTTGCCTGGCTACCACTTCACAATCAGCTGCCATATTAGCTGCCGACTCCTCCTCCTCCTCCTCCTCCTCCCTTTCTGAAGGCTCAGTGTGCGATTGGTGCTCTTCTTTGGTGGATTCTGTTGCCACAGCAACAGGTTCAAACGGGCTCTGTGATTGGCTGTCATCATCCCCCAATGTCACATGACAGGAAAGCATGTCGTCCTCTAGCACCGCCTCCGCCCTCTTCCCCGTCTCAGCTTCTCGTTGATTGGTTAGTTCCTCCTCTTGGGGGAGGTCCTCCAGAGGGGAGGAGGGGGGAGACAGGGGGTGGGTAGAGCAAGAGGGGAGTAAGGCAATCCTGTGAGGGGAGGAGGGGGAGACTTCTAGAGAGCCAGCTCTAGGAGGAGGAGACTGTGGTGAGGCAGGAGGTGAAGACGAGTGGGAGTAGGAGGGCTCCTGGCAGGGTAAGGCAGAGTGTGGTGTGGTGGGTTGGGGGGAGGGAGGAGTTGTCTGTGGGAGGAGTGGGGAGGCAGGAGCAGTGTGAGGAGGACTATGAAAGTCTTCATTCAGGACAGATCCCAGCTGGACTCCTGCACAGAGAGAGAGAGAGATCATGAAAGTGAACGAGGAGGAGAAAACCAGGAGGAGACAGTGAGCAGGAGGAGAAAACCAGGAGGAGACAGTGAGCAGGAGGAGAAAACCAGGAGGAGACAGTGAGCAGGAGGAGAAAACCAGAAGGAGACAGTGAGCAGGAGGAGAAAACCAGAAGGAGACAGTGAGCAGGAGGAGAAAACCAGGAGAAAACCAGGAGGAAACAGTCACCTTCTCACCTGGACTGAACTCTATTACATGCAAGTGTGGACAGTACCTGCAGTGGAGCTGTTTTGCTGATCCTCCTCCTCCTCCTCCTCCTTTTCTTGTTCTGCTCCCTCTTCTTTACTCTCAACAGGCTCCTCCTCTCCTGGCCTCTTCTTTGTTGTCTGTTGAGGCTGCTCCTCTTCCTCCTTCTGCTGCAGAGGTTCTCTCTCCATCTCACCCTCTTCTTCAGTCCTCCTCGGCTGCACCGTCTCCTCCTGCTCCTCCTGCTCCTCGGCTATGTCTAGAGGAAGATTTGTGAAACCAATCACACTGATCAATCCGACTGATCTCCCGTTTACGTTACTTTAACTTTTAGCCTGCATTATAGCTGCTAACTAGCTGGCGTTTGCTTTCCACATGAGTAGCGTTATTACTTCATATGAAAGTAATTAGTTACTCGGTAAAGTAACTGTACATTGTTAATGTCTGCTGCGGTTCAGATGACCAGAGGCCGCAGCAGCGACGCTTTTTAATGGTAAATGTTTGGCTCATACTCACCCACTGTGGCTGCAGACTGCTGGGGGCTGGAAACAGAGAGGCTACCAGGATCAGGACCAGGCTGCACACGGCTAGTTGGACCAGGACTTGGGCTTTCTTCAGACTGTCCAAGGGTGGCAAGAACAGAGCTAACAAAATGGGGTCCAGGGCTAGCCTTGCACTTAATTGGGCTACCAAGACCAGGACTGGAACTAGCCTCTGGCTGCACATGACGGGCAGGATCAGGGCTAGAAGGAGACTCTGGCCGCACAGGGCTGGTAGGGACAGGACTAGGGTCATCACCTGATTGCAAGGGGCCACAAACAAGACTAGCAACCATGTTACTGTGCCCAGAGCTAGCGTGAGGTTGTGGAGCATGAGGAGGGCTAACCTGTGAGGGGGCAGAGGGTGGAGGACTAGCGGGTGTTTCACTAGTGCTAGGCATCACAGTGTTATCCTGAGTGGGACTAGCATGGCTCGGACTAGCCTGAGTGGAAGTAGCATCAACAGGGGCAGCTGAGCTGTGACAGAGAGGGCTTCCCGGGGCAGGGCTTTGTTGGTTCTCAACAGACCTGTCGGGGGTATGAGGAGGACCAGCTGGGGACCGGCTAACCTGGCTCAGAGTGGCCTGGTTGGGGCTAACAGCAGATAAGTCATCTGGTAGGGAAGTGGCAGATGTTGGGCTCGTCTGCCTAATGCTGTCTGTAGAAAGAAGCTGAACCACAACAGGAAGAACAGAGCTCTGAATTATTGAACTGGCAACCATATCAAGATGTGCACTAGCCACAGCAGGGCCAGAACTGGTTCCAGTGTCAGGAGCTGGGCTATACTGGGGACTATGATATGTTTCACTGGCCTGAGCTGGACTGTGAGGTGGGCTCACACAAGCGACAGTAGCATGTGCAGGGCTGCTGTGTGTCGTGTTAGCTAATAAGGGAGTCTGTCTTTGGGCTGGGCCTGAGTGGGCACTACTAGAGGTGCTTTGTATGTGAACAGGACTAGCTTGACCAGCAGGACTAGACCTAGGTGGACTGTGGATGACGCTAACATCAGTTTCGCTAGCAGGGTAAGAACTTGTCTGGCCACTGTGGCTCAGACTGTGGCTGACAGAGCTACCAGCTGAGCTAGTATCAGTCGGCCTACAGTGTGAAGGACTAAAGCTAGGTGGCAGGGGGCTTGTCTGTACTGTAGAAGCCTGTGAAGGACTATTTGTAGTTTGGACATGTGAGGGACTGGACTGGCCAGGATGTGTGGGACTTTGGCTCGTCTGTGTGAGCTTTGCAAAACTACAAACAGAGGGACTAGCTCTCTCCTGAGCATGCATGGAGCCCATCAGACTGTACTCGCTGTTAGTTTCTGTGTGGACTGGGCTAGCATGAGTTGGGCTAGTATGAACTGGACTGCCCAGAGTGGAGTTGGGATGACTGGGACTAGTTTCTAACTGAAGCAAATGGTCGACAGATACCTCCATCTCCTCATCTTGACATGTGATGGGGTGGATGGGGCTAGCCGGTTGCATTGAGGGTTTAACAGTGTAGCTGACATGGACAGGGCTAGTCTCCACTGCCACAGGGCTGGCACAGGCCAGAGGAGAGCTGGCAGGGCTAGCAGGCATTTGACTGGCATGTTTGGGACTAGAACTAGCCAAGCTGTTTTGGATATGTACGGGACTGGCTTTACCTTCATTAGCTTCTGCGCAGCGTGATGGGCTGTCACAAGAAGGACTCTGATGAATGTGTTCTTCTGTTCTATCAGCACAAGGTGAGCAGATTAGGCTACTGTGTTCCACTGAAGAGCTAACGTGAACAAGGCTTTCTGGTGTGGGCATTGCTGGGACGTGAAGGGGGCTTGAATGGTCTGGGCCAACTGTGCTACTCTTAACTGGACCAAGCTGGTTTCCATCTGTGCCATGGCTATCAGGCGGCATTGTGGACAGGATAGCGGTGGGGCTACTTTCCAGTGTTTGGCCATCAAGGTTAGGGCTCAGCTGCTCCAAGGACTTTAGCTCTGGGGTTTGGGTGCATTCCTTTGTGACTTCTGACTGTGTAGCAAGTTGAGAAGGAACAAGGCTAAGCTGTGAAGGCCTAACAGGCTGTAAGGAGTGGGCCTTTACTGGGCTTGTAGGTTGTGACAGACTACACTGTGTGGCTTTGGGTGGGGCCGGTGATGGGCTACATGGAGCTGAAATAGGCGTCAGTGAGGCGTGTCTTCTTGCTGTCTGAGTGGACCTACAGTAGTCCTGGTCCAGTGTAGAAATGTCCTGTGCAGCCCAACATTGCAGCTGAGCAGGGCTGCTTGATCCAGGGCTCCCCTGGTCCAGTGTAGGTTTAGAATCCTGTGTGGGACTCTGTGGGTGTGATGTGCCAACTTGTGCAGGACTACGTGGTGTAGGACTGTGCTGAGGCTGTGTGATGATGTTAGTACTACATGGTCGGTCGAGCTGTGCCTGTGAAATGTAGTCCTGCACAGGACTGTGTGGTGGAGGGCTTTGCTGAGGCTGTGCAGGCCCTGATTGAACCCGGGTAGAACTAAGCCCTGTCTGGGTGGGACTGTGAGGAGAATGTGCATGGCTACAATACATGGGACTACCTTGCGCTGGATTCTGCTGAGACTCTGTGGTCGTAAGCTGATCCTCTAAGGAACTCTGGGTACAGCTTGAAGAGGTGTTAATAGGATGGGGAGGACTGTGCTGAGCCTGCGTGGAAGTCACATGAGTAGGACTTTGGTGTAGCTCAGCAGGACCAGCTGGGCACAGTATATGAGTTTTTTGGAGTTCTGTTGGACCAGAGTGAGACTGTGTAGGGCTTTGTGGAAGCTCTGCTGGACTAAGGGGAGGTGGGGTATGGCTTTCCTGGTGTTCTCTAGAATCAGCGTGAAGTAACACAGGGCTTTCTTTAAGCTTTGTAGTTTCAGGGTGAGACAGCGGTGGACTTTGTTGGAGCTCTGCATGATCAGTGTGAGATGGTGCAGGGCTTGTTTCAAGCTCTGTTGGTTCAAAGTGAGACGGCGGTGGACTTTTCTGGACCTCCGTTGGATCAGGGTGAGATGCCACAGGACTTTGTTGGAGCTCTGCATGATCACAGTGAGATGGCAGTGGACTTTGTTGGAGCTCTATTGGATCAGCGTGAGATGGTGCAGGATTTGTTTCCAGCTCTGTTGGTTCAGAGTGAGACGGTGCTGGGCTTTGTTGAAGCTCTGCAGTATCATGTTGAAATGGCAAAGGACTTTCCCAGAGCTCCGTTGGATCAGAGTGAGATGGGGCAGGGTTTGTTTCAAGCTCTGTTCGATCAGGGTTTGACGGTGCTGGGCTTTGTTGGAACTCAGCAGTATCAAGATGAAATGGTGAATGGCTAGTTTCTCGGTTTGCTTGATCAGGTTGAGATGGCAGTGGACTATTTTGGAGCTCTGTGGGTTCAGGGTGAGATGGTGAAGAGCTTGTTTCAAGCTCTGTGGTTTCATGGTGAGGACCATGTTGGAGCTCTGTGGGTTCAGGGTGAGATGGTGGTGGACTTTGTGGGAGCTCCGTTGGTTCAAGGTGAGATGGTGAAGAGCTTGTTTCAAGCTCTGTGGTTTCATGGTGAGGACTACGTTGGAGCTCTGTTGGTTCAGGAGGCTGAGGACCACGTTGGAGCTCTGTTGGTTCAGGACGGTGAGGACTATGTTGGAGCTCTGTTGGTTCAGGAGGGTGAGGACTATGTTGGAGCTCTGTTGGTTCAGGAGGGTGAGGACTATGTTGGAGCTCTGTTGGTTCAGGAGGGTGAGGACTATGTTGGAGCTCTGATGGTTCAGGGTGAGGACTATGTTGGAGCTCTGATGGTTCAGGGTGAGGACTATGGTGGAGTTCTGTTGGTTCAGGAGGGTGAGGACTATGGTGGAGCTCTGTTGGTTCAGGAGGGTGAGGACTATGGTGGAGCTCTGTTGGTTCAGGAGGGTGAGGACTATGGTGGAGCTCTGTTGGTTCAGGAGGGTGAGGACTATGTTGGAGCTCTGTTGGTTCAGGAGGGTGAGGACTATGTTGGAGCTCTGTTGGTTCAGGAGGGTGAGGACTATGGTGGAGCTCTGTGGGTTCAGGAGGGTGAGGACTATGGTGGAGCTCTGTTGGTTCAGGAGGGTGAGGACTATGGTGGAGCTCTGTTGGTTCAGGAGGGTGAGGACTATGGTGGAGCTCTGTTGGTTCAGGAGGGTGAGGACTATGTTGGAGCTCTGTGGGTTCAGAGTGAGGACTATGGTGGAGCTCTGATGGTTCAGGAGGGTGAGGACTATGTTGGAGCTCTGTGGGTTCAGGGTGAGGACTATGGTGGAGCTCTGTTGATTCAGGACGGTGAGGACTATGTTGGAGCTCTGTGGGTTCAGGGTGAGGACTATGGTGGAGCTCTGTTGGTTCAGGAGGGTGAGGACTATGTTGGAGCTCTGTGGGTTCAGGGTGAGGACTATGGTGGAGCTCTGTTGGTTCAGGAGGGTGAGGACTATGTTGGAGCTCTGTGGGTTCAGGAGGGTGAGGACTATGTTGGAGCTCTGTGGGTTCAGGAGGGTGAGGACTATGTTGGAGCTCTGTGGGTTCAGGGTGAGGACTATGTTGGAGCTCTGTGGGTTCAGGGTGAGGAATATGTTGGAGCTCTGTGGGTTCAGGGTGAGGAATATGGTGGAGCTCTGTTGGTTCAGGAGGGTGAGGAATATGTTGGAGCTCTGTTGGTTCAGGAGGGTGAGGAATATGGTGGAGCTCTGTTGGTTCAGGAGGGTGAGGACTATGTTGGAGCTCTGTTGGTTCAGGAGGGTGAGGACTATGTTGGAGCTCTGTGGGTTCAGGGTGAGGAATATGGTGGAGCTCTGTTGGTTCAGGAGGGTGAGGACTATGTTGGAGCTCTGTTTGGTCAGGTTGAGATGGTGTAAGGCTTTGCTGTGATGGTGTACAGGACTCGGTAGGACTCTGTGATGGCTCTGAAAAGATGAGCTGGACTGAGCAATGAGCGGTAGAGCTGATGGGAGGAACCTCTGTGTGACCTGGAATTGGTGTCTGTGAAGGGCTAATGGTTGGTGCCTGTGTGGGACTGAGCGGCGAGGCCAGGGTAGGACTTTGCGGGATTAGCTCCTCCTCCTGAGGCCTGCAGGCGGAGCAGACATAATCTTCAGACCCTGCCCTGCCCTCCCCAGCCTGGGCAATACACTCTGTATGGACACACCTGTAACAAAAACACAAATATTAAAACATGTATATTTGCTGAACTTGAATCATTTTGACCATGCGAGGAAGCTGGACTCACAAGATCACGTAAGAATCCATAATGCAAGGCTTTAATCTATGCGTTTGTGGTACCGGACAAATCGGCATGCTAAAAGGAACTCCGGCAGCTACTGCATGAGCTACGTGGGTGGTTTATATGGTTCATTGATCTGACTGGTTGAAGTTCGCCCGTGATACACACGGTTCATCCAATCACCTGCAGAGTATTTTTTTCAAAGTGTCTGCCCTTTTCCTCACAGGTTTCCTCCGGGACGTCCTTTGTCTGTCCAACAGCGTGGGAGAAGCAGCAATTTTTAAGGTGGAACTGCTTTATTCAGTGTGTTTAAGGTGGAACTGCTTTATTCAGTGTGTTTAGTGGTTTTAATCAGCGGGTCTGTTTGTTTTGGTGAGGAAGAGACCTCTGTGGATCATTGGGCTCCCGGTAGAAACCTCCTGAACCATGAACACTGAAGGAATCCTAACCGGGAGAAGCTGACTGCAATGACGCCAATGGTGGTGAAGACAACAACACCCATGATCCCACACTGCTTCACCACCTCATCACACTTTAAAATGATAACCCTACCTTTAATTCAACAAAATAACAAACTAGATGGGTTGTGTGTGTGTGTGAGTGTTTGTGTGTGAGTGTGTGTACCTATAGCAGCAGATACAAGTCAGATAGTCCTGTGGTGCGTAGAGGTTGGGGACATGGTCACAGAGAGAGCAGGGCAGGGCCAGGTCACATGACTCGCACAGAAATGGGTGATTGGCCCACTGGCCCGATGACCTCACACCACAGCGGCGGCATCTTCTGCAGTTCTGGAAGAGAGAGAGGTTTTAAAAACACACACTCACACGACAAGTGGTTCAACACTGAGGCCGACACCAGTGTGTGTGCGTTATCTCACCTTGCAGCTCCAGCCGGTGCTCAGCGTGTGATCCAGAGGTGGGGTGAGACAGTGTGTGTGGTAGGCTTTGTCACAGCATTCACACACCAGCAACACACCATCATCCCCTCGCAACCTAACAAACACAAACACACACACACACACACACGGAGCAAGTGACAATCAGAGCTAAAATCACGTAGTGTGAACTCAGCTTAAAACACCAGGTTGCATTAATGCTGCAGCAGCTGATTTTAAAGGCTTCCACGACTGACATATTATCAGTATATGAAGTAGTTGAGACTCACTTGTTACACAGTTGTTACGGAGCAACTGGATCATTCATGTGTTTGTGTCACCTGATCAATTTCCAGTATTCACTCTCCTTTGTTGGACTTTACTAACTCTTGAGGAACATTTGCTCTGGAAACTGACCAGAACGAACATGAATCTGTGAATGAAATTAGTGAGGAATTAATCAATAATGGAAATACCTGCAGCTCTGACACACTCGACACCGAGGACACTGCCAGCCGGCCCGGCACAGGGGGGAGGGGGCCAGAGGGGGGTCCAGGCAGCTGCCGTGGTAACAATCACCACAGCAACAACATATCAACTGACCGCCGACATCACTGCCGCCCAAGCACAACACACACGGCGAGGACGCTGGAGAAAGAGAGACAGCCGTTCCCAACCAAAATCAGTGGAAATTTGAAAAACTTCAAAATAAAACACAGTAAATGTTAATAACTTTCAGTTATTTTAATGCAACTGTTGAAACCGATTACATCTAAGATTTTAAAGTAAATCTTCTAGAAAACGTTCTTGATCAAGTAGCTTGGGTAATTTTAAGTGACACTGACTTTGTTTTTATTATTCGCACCGTGAAAATAAAGGAGATGTTTCTTTAAGTTAATGTAACTTTTAAATTATTAGTAGGAGCTGTTTCATCATGAATGTTTTCTAACTTTAGTTAATATAACTAACATTTTCCGATGTAATCCATTTTCAAGTTAAAATAACTTATTGCATTACAGTGTTAAGAAGATGACGAGGTCGTTAAGAGAGCTCCGGTCAAAGGTCAAATGATTGATCATTTTCGAGGAGTCGTCGCTAACGTCTGCCTTCCTCAGGTGGAGGCAGAGAGACAGCATACCTGGGTGTCTGGTGCACAGTGTGTGCCTCTGGGTCCAGTCCTGGTGAGCTCCGGCGGCAGCAGCACAGGGGTAGTGGTAGCTCCGCCCACAGCCTGTCTCCCGGCAACGCAGCGACGCTCCGAGCCGGCGGCAGAACACACACACCTGGACGGGTAAGAGAGGGGGGGAGGGCGGGGCTTAGTGAGGTGCATACAGGGGGAACTCCTCCCTGAGAGCGTGCAGTGATCCAACGTAAACCCACCTGCGTGCTTCCTGAGTCGATGGCTTTGTCCACGTAGAGCAGTGATTGGCCCTCGCCGCGACACACCCCTTCTGACCACGCCGCACACTGCAGGTGAGCACAGCACTGACCTGCACGCACACGCACACGCACACACACACACACACACACACATACACACAGTTAGGATGGAGTTTATACAACTATGATAACACAAATCTCTACATTTTCTACCATGTTAGGATAAAACATCCCATGTGCTCAACGACTACACAAACTATGGTCGCTACCATTTCAAGACTTTAGACCAGTAAAAATGTAATTAAATAATAAATAAATATGTCTTTGGGTTTAGTAAAAGTACAACAGAGTGAAAATACATAATAATAAGTCCTGTATGGATCCAAAAGTAAATAAAAGTTTTTGCATCAAAATATACTTAAAGTATAAAAAGTGCCCATTTCAAAATAATATACAGTCTATTATATAATCTGATTATAATTATTGATACATTAATGTGTTCACCAATTAGCTTAAATTATTAGCTGTAATGTATATTAGCTCCAAATATCAGTTATTGCTTTCCTTGATACTAATAATCAGCATCTGTAAGAACAAACAGCACGTCAACAACAGCTTTCATTTTCATTAGTTAATAAACAACTCAGAAGGAAACATAAACAGATAATTGTGTGTAAACAGAGGAGGTCAGGAGGTAAAGCAGTGGCTGATGGGACAAGAAGCCGTACCTGTGGGGTCAAACAGTGATTGGACGTCGATGTCATGTGGTAGGCCGATGGGTCCGAGCTGCTCCACAAACTCTGAGGAAGACTGCTCCTCTGAAACATCAGTAGACATTCAACTGGTGATCAATAACAGCGATCAGACTGGATGAGGAACCCAAATAAACAGATTCTACTGTTGTAATGTCAATAAACGGATCAAACAGATGCTGAAACAACATCATGATGGATGTCTGTCTGCTAGAAGACGAGCAAACAACTTAAAATGCTTGTTTTCTGAATGGAGTTTGGTTGATTAGAGCTACACTAACTTAGGTTGGCATGGACTCCTGACAGACACAGAGGTTTGAAACCTTATCAATTAGTATGAATAGAGAGAGTACTCACCACACTGTTCTGGACTGCTGCACCTACACACACACACACACACACAAACACACACACACACACACACACACACACACAGAGTCAAAGACTTGAGGGAATTCTTCTGGGAATCTAAAAGCGCACATGGGTGGTTTTGACTTTTATTTTGACAGGGGATAAATGGGAAGTGAGGTCACTCACGTGGGCGGTGCCTGGTCGCCGCGGTAGCAGTGGTCGTGGCAGTCGTTGTCTCGGTCGGAAGAGGCGCGGCGGTTCAGGATGTGGAGCGGGATGTAGCCGGGTGTCGGGCCAAACACCACCAGGCGACCCTGGCCTAGAGGAGGGTCGTCGCCATGGTAACAGAAGGCACACTGCTTCAGACTGAAGGGCGAGAGACACCGACAGAGAGAGACAGAAACATGGATGTTTAGTGTTTTTACTTGGAAAGTCTGACTTTGGCCAAACTCGTAGTTCTGACTGAAAACTTTTCAATGTCGGTTTTATCTCGTGGCAGATTGTCTCCGTTCGGTCTCGCTCTGTCAGTAACTGCAGAATCCAACCTACAATCAACCTGCAGTAAGTGCATTCACTGCGCTCTCCCTGGCTGTCTCTGAGTTTGGGCTGCAGTCACTGCGCTCTACCTCGCTGTCTATGAGCTTGGGCTGCAGTCACTGCGCTCTACACCTCACTGTCTCTGAGCTTCAGCTGCAGTCACTGCGCTCTCCCTCGCTGTCTCTGAGCTTCAGCTGCAGTCACTGCACTCTCCCTCGCTGTCTCTGAGCTTCAGCTGCAGTCACTGCACTCTCCCTCGCTGTCTCTGAGCTTCAGCTGCAGTCACTACCGTCTCCCTCACTGTCTCTGAGCTTCAGCTGCAGTCACTGCACTCTCCCTCGCTGTCTCTGAGCTTCAGCTGCAGTCACTGCGCCATCCCTCGCTGTCTCCGAGCTTGGGCTGCAGTCACTGCGCTCTACACCTCACTGTCTCTGAGCTTCAGCTGCAGTCACTGCGCTCTACACCTCGCTGTCTCTGAGCTTCAGCTGCAGTCACTGCGCTCTACCTCGCTGTCTCTGAGCTTCAGCTGAAGTCACTGCGCTCTCCCTCGCTGTCTCTGAGCTTCAGCTGCAGTCACTGCGCTCTCCCTCGCTGTCTCTGAGTTTGGGCTGCAGTCACTGCGCTCTACACCTCACTGTCTCTGAGCTTCAGCTGCAGTCACTGCGCTCTACCTCACTGTCTCTGAGTTTCAGCTGCAGTCACTGCGCTCTACCTCGCTGTCTCTGAGCTTCAGCTGCAGTCACTGCGCTCTACCTCGCTGTCTCTGAGCTTCAGCTGCAGTCACTGCGCTCTACACCTCGCTGTCTCTGAGCTTGGGCTGCAGTCACTGCGCTCTACACCTCACTGTCTCTGAGCTTCAGCCGCAGTCACTGCGCTCTTCCTCTCTGTCTCTGAGCTTCAGCCGCAGTCACTGCGCTCTACCTCACTGTCTCTGAGCTTGGGCTGCAGTCACTGCGCTCTACCTCGCTGTCTCTGAGCTTGGGCTGCAGTCACTGCGCTCTCACTCGCTGTCTCTGAGCTTGGGCTGCAGTCACTGCGCTCTCCCTCGCTGTCTCTGAGCTTCAGCCGCAGTCACTGCGCTCTCACTCGCTGTCTCTGAGCTTGGGCTGCAGTCACTGCGCTCTACCTCGCTGTCTCTGAGCTTGGGCTGCAGTCACTGCGCTCTACCTCGCTGTCTCTGAGCTTCAGCTGCAGTCACTGCGCTCTACCTCGCTGTCTCTGAGCTTCAGCTGCAGTCACTGCGCTCTCCCTCGCTGTCTCTGAGCTTCAGCTGCAGTCACTGCGCTCTCCCTCGCTGTCTCTGAGCTTGGGCTGCAGTCACTGCGCTCTACACCTCGCTGTCTCTGAGCTTCAGCTGCAGTCACTGCGCTCTCCCTCGCTGTCTCTGAGTTTGGGCTGCAGTCACTGCGCTCTACACCTCGCTGTCTCTGAGCTTCAGCTGCAGTCACTGCGCTCTCCCTCGCTGTCTCTGAGTTTCAGCTGCAGTCACTGCGCTCTACCTCGCTGTCTCTGAGCTTCAGCTGCAGTCACTGCGCTCTCCCTCGCTGTCTCTGAGTTTGGGCTGCAGTCACTGCGCTCTACACCTCGCTGTCTCTGAGCTTGGGCTGCAGTCACTGCGCTCTACACCTCACTGTCTCTGAGCTTCAGCTGCAGTCACTGCGCTCTACACCTCACTGTCTCTGAGCTTCAGCCGCAGTCACTGCGCTCTACCTCACTGTCTCTGAGCTTGGGCTGCAGTCACTGCGCTCTACCTCACTGTCTCTGAGCTTCGGCTGCAGTCACTGCGCTCTACCTCACTGTCTCTGAGCTTCGGCTGCAGTCACTGCGCTCTACCTCACTGTCTCTGAGCTTCAGCTGCAGTCACTGCGCTCTACCTCGCTGTCTCTGTTCCTCAGTGCAGTTACTGTGGTCAGCCTCTGCAGCACTTTTACAAAAATGAAATTCAACTGTTTGTTTACATTCTGGCTGTTAGCACTTCCTGTTTACACTGTAACCATGGCAACCCGCGCACTCACCGTTTTTTGGTGTGTCCCAGGATTGGGGTGGGCGAGCCCCCCGAGTCCTCTGACAGACACCGCTGGAACAGAGGGGACAGCGAGTCCTCATCCTCCAGTCGGGGACCGGGGGAGGCTGGAGGACTGGAGCAGGGACTCAGGGCAGGACTCTGCTCCATGGGACTTTCCCCGCCCCCTTTTGTCTCCATGGGAACTGTGCTGGGATTGCAGTCCACCTCCATGGGGGCGGGGCTGTGGCTTGAGCCGGACCCATCCTCCTCCACAGGATCAGGATCAGGATCAGGAGCTGGTCTGGGGCTGAAGGCTGGGCTGTGAGCCGGACTAAGGTTCAGGGATGGGGAGGGGGGCAAGGGGCTGATTTGAGGTTCTTCCCCGGGACTGGGAGATGGTCTGGGACTGGGAGATGGTCTGGGACTGGGAGATGGTC